TAATTGATTTTGTATATTAAGTCAAGTTCAAATTATATTTATGATTTTTTATAATTATTTTTTTGGTAATGCATGGTTTATTAAGGCATTGGTTGAGGGTAAGACTGTGAATTCAGGTTTTACCGCACTAAGTGGGTAAGACATCGAGTTAAAGTCTTGGTGCACCATGATAATAAGAAGTTGGGTTCAAAGTCCCATTGATTTATGACCAAAAGTGTCTTTATATAGGTAAGACATTGAGTTTAAGTCTTAATGCACTATAGTGATAATGTAACGATCCAGATTTTTTTTTCAAATAAATAAGAATAAATAGGTATTTAAGGGCATGATGGTCTTTTCGCGTATTAATTAAAATAAACCAGGTTTGTATTAATTTTTAATTATATTTGACTAAGTCTTGAATTAGTCTCCTAATCCTAATAATTCTCTCTCTCACGTTCTCCATTTTTCTCACGTTGTTCTGCCAAATATCAACAGTTCTTCACGCTTGAAGAACTCACATGAAATTTTAAGAAAAACAAAGCAACCAAAAAAATATTAAGGCGAAGAGAAGTTGTTCGTTGAGTGGTGTGGACGTTGAAGTAACTTGGACTGATTTTTGAAGAGAGTTTTGGGTAGCGAATTCTTCGTTTGAACATCAATAAAAGTATGAATTTCTCTCATGGAATTCTTTCTCCAAGAGTACTTTCTTTCGAACGTTTCTTAAACTCTTGAAACTAAGGTTGTTCCCCTTCATATGTCCTTGTCCTTAGCTCCCAAACGAATTTGTAGGATGGGTATGTTGTGCTGCTAGATTTTTGCATGAATGATGTGTTTAAATTAAATATGAATGTGTTTATGTGCGGAAAATTTACGATATAGATCATCAAAATATGAACGGAAAAGTTGATGTATGGGCGTGTATAGGGCAGTGTTTTAGGCACTATTTTAAGGTGTATAAGTTGTGTATTTATTGTGCATTTTATGTGTGTAATGGGTGTACAATGTGATGTTCATTATGATGAAGTATAGTGAATTAAATGAACCATGAAATCTCCCTAAGAACTAATGTGAAATTTGATGAAAAAAGTGCAGAAAAATCGTGAAATAAATTTCCAGAACTTAGAAATAGGCTTTTAAAGAATCTGGAAATTTTTGGACGTCAAAGAAATAAAAAAAAAGTTTTGAGGCCTGCAGGGATCGAACCCAGGACCTCCCTGCAGCATGCCTTAAATTAAAAAAAATTAAAAAAGGGCTGGGGGAATCGAACTCTCGCCCCTAACTTGCGCGAGGAAAAAGGAAAAGAGAAGGGGGCTGGGGGATCGAACTCGGGACCCCCAGCTACGCGCGAAGAAAAAAAAATGGGAGCGCGAGGAGTGGAATCGATCCCACGACCTCAAAGCGGAAGGAAAGGGGCAAAATCATTGTAAAGGAAGTGAGGCTATGGGGATTCGATCCCACAACCTCACAACCACTCGCCTTTATATAAAATTAAAAAAAAAATTAAAGATGGAGGGGCTGTGGAGGTTCGAACCCACCACCTCACAGCCTCCCTCCTTAGCGAAAAAGAAAGAAAAATAAGGGGGTTGTGGGGGTTCGAATCCACAACCTCCCAATGGTTATGAATTTAAATCCTAAAAAAAAATCAAAGGGGTCGTGGAGGCTTGAACACCCAACCTTTCGGTTAATTAATAGTAAAATTAAAATAGAAAATTAATTATTTTATGTAAATATTGAGATTTAAATTAGAATTCTAATTAGAATAGAAAATTTATCCTTTCATGTAAATATGGAGATTTAAATTAGAATTCTAATTAAAATAGAAAAATTAATTCTTTATGTAATTATTGAGATTTAATTTAGAATTCTAATTAAAAATAGAAAATTTATTCTTTCTCGTAAATGTTGAGATTTAATTTAGAATTCTAATTAAAATAGAAATTTAATTATTTCATGAAAATGTTGAGATTTAATTTAGAGTTCTAATGTCATGAATATTAGAAATAAAATCAATGAAAAATATAAATGATATCCAAGTGATTCAAGATTTGGGTTCCCGTGCCCAAACCTCCGTATTGATACATAAGTCATACGTGAGTAAAATATTCAAGAAATAATGTCATCTACTTAGATAAAAAATCAAGATCTTGGTATATATACAAGATACATAAGTCTTGTAATACATAATCTTAGGAAAATAAGAATCACTTAACGAACTATAAATGAAGCCTCATGGCTTGTATGTATAGACACATAAGTTTAACATACGTTCAAGTATAAGTGAACCTAAGATATACGTAATGAAATGAAGAAATGAACATCCACGTAATAAGAGGTAAGTAACTATGAAAAATAATGGTGCTAATAATGAAGAATGTGGTGACAATCATGATGTGAAGCTAATGTACATGATGAGAGCAATCTCAAATGAGCCTAAGTAAATGTTAGCAATACGTACTCACCAATGAGAGTGTAAGATAATGAAGAGACCAGTCTCGGTGAACACTCTAATGAAAATATTGAGTTTAAAACACTTAATACTAATGATGAGATGAGAAATCATCTATTGAGCTATGATGTCCTCATACTAGAAGCCAACTTCCATGATGTATGAGTTGAATGTAATGGAACTTTATACCGAGCACCGATAGGATAGCTATGAGCGGTGATGCCTTCTTTCGGGAAAGGCGGAGGTTCACGTAACTCTCATGAGATGAGACTGTCCGGCTTGCCGGGTATGGGTGGCGGGGTTAAATTCCCATATACGCTAGCATGTTATTGAATCGCTTTGGCCGGTGATTCCACCTCTTTCCGGTGTGGGGGAGACACTGGATTTCATGATGCTCACATGATCTATGTCGGCCCTAGTTGAGGTCCCATATGTTGAGCCCTCATTTGGAAAGTCTTAAGGTTAAGTCTATGATAATAAGGTCTCATGGTATATGAATGAATAATATGAAGATGTTATGTGTTGTATGCCCTACGATGATTATAATGATGCATGTCACTCTCATGGCATCACTTTGACAATCTCAATTTAGCAAGTCCACTGACTTGACTTTCGAACATCATGTTGTTAGGAAAAAGCTATTCTTCCTCATGCATGTCCTAGGTGTGTGCTTGCATATACCCATACTTAGTACAAGTGTGTACTAATTCCATACAAACATCTACTTTTAGGTGCAGGCACAGGTGGACGGTAGAGCTACATGTTCGTTGTTGCAGCTATCCGGACGTCAGCATTCATCCGGAGTTTGATAGGTCCTCATGCTTTCGAGGATGCTACTGTTTTACATTCTAGCGTAGTTTTAGAGTTGAGCTAGTGGAGCATGTTCCACTGGTGCTTCTTTCCTATTTTGGTTCAGACGTTGTATTGGTGTTATTTTGGCCGATATACGATTAATACTTAATGAATTATTTCTTTCAGTTGCTTATCTCTTAATTGTTAGATGGTTGATGATGAACGATTACGAAATATAAAGAATGTTTGGCAAGTATGATTAAAGAATCAAAAATTTCAAATTTTTCGCTAAAATTAACCTATGTAAAGTAAGAATGACGTAAGTACGCTTGTTTGCGACCTTTGAGAGGTCAACGACGCCGGTCTCGTCTGGGGTCTAGATTCCAGTCGTGACAGATATGATGACGACTAACATAAAATTTAATACTTTTAACTGAAAGTCATGAAATTTATCCTATTAATTTGCTCCATTTTGTTATATGAATGTGATAGTAGTGTATTAATTTGTCTGAAAATGACAAGTGGTTGAATGTATAAAAATGGATGGGTATGGTAAAATGTTAATGGTCATCATTATGGTAATTAAAAGGAAAAACATTATGGGTTCTTAAGATGTTTCTGCTTTAATAATTGTCACGTTACCCAAATTGCTTACAAAGACAATTTAACACCAACCTCTGTCGCAGAACTCATCGAAATCTACCCATAATTCGCCTTAGATTTTCTTGGGTTATCAAAATCGATTGAAAAAGACAAGTTTAAGGGATTAGAATGAGATGATTGTTGTGAAAGATTGAAGATGGGGACCTGCAAATTCCCCTCTCTATCCTCTGCGGCATACCTGCAAACTCTTTCATTGGCCGCCGCCTCCCATTCTGGCCAAAAAAGGATCATCGCTTCCAATATAGCGAAAAAGGGACCAGAGCTGTCTCTCTCACTCTCACACCATTGTGAATCGCCAGTATCGCCATGAAACCAACACGACTCTCTCTCTCTCTCTCAACTGATAATCGACATGAAACCTTATGTCACCAAAGTGACAATTCCAAAATTGGGTTAAAGAAGATAACTATGGTGTGGAAACAAAAAAAAGAGGTTGAATAGCGATGGGGTGGGAGTTGCTGAAAAAGTGGTGTTGGAAGAAGATAAATTCTTTTTTTTTTTAATTCTTTTATTATATAAATTTAATAATTAAAAATTTAAAGCTTAAAATATGATGTTCACTCACGACTCTCTCTCTCTCTCAACTGATAATCGACATGAAACGTTATGTCACCAAAGTGACAATTCCAAAATTAGGCTAAATAAGATAACTATGGTGTGGAAACAAAAAAAAGAGGTTGAACAACATGGGGTGGGAGTTGCTGAAAAAGTGGTGTTGGAAGAAGATAGATTCTTTTTTCTTTTTTAATTCTTTTATTATATAAATTTAATAATTAAAAATTTAAAGCTTAAAATATGATGTTCACTCGCCTTAAATGCGTGTAGTCAAACTCTCTCGCCAACTCAGATATTTTAATGACACATAAGCATGATCGATCAATGGTCAAAAGGAGTTAATATATTGCATTTTATTTAATTTAGGGATCTATATGACAAATGAGTAAGTAAAAGGGTTCACAATATAAACTGATACAAATTGTTTTTTTCTTTCAATAGCCGGCCAAATGACTACAAGATCATCGGTCTACTCTATCTATAAGTGTTTACAAAATCATTTCGCCTAATTTATATGCAAAGATTTGGTATTTAAACATACTCTCGAATGTGGCTATTTTTCAAGATTTTATTTTTTGATCTCTCTTCCATAATATGTGAAAAAAATATTATTTTAACACATTTATGTATGTGGAAACTTATCAAGATTTCATTTCTTTTATTTGTATCATTTATATAATATGCGCCAACATTGATTGTTTTAACACATTTTTGTTACATGCTAGCAAACTATATTTGCCATGATAACCAACTACTAATTATATTGGAGATAGTGTTGAAATTATTTGATAAGTAATTGAGTATTAAATACGAGCGAGCTTCTTTTCTCAAAGTTCAAACCCTACCCAGCTTTCTACCCACAAACAAAGACGCAATTACAAATGGCTGAGGCAGCTTTGGATATGACTCTCGACGATCTCATCAAGAAGAATAAGACCGGTACCGGAGGTAAGCCTCGTGGCAGAGGCCGCGGCGCCGCCTCCACCTCCAGTGCTGGACCTTCTCGACGGGTCCCTAATCGTTCTGCTAACCGAGCTGCACCTTATTCCATCGCCAAGGTTGAATTTTTTTAATTGATTTTTTTTCCGGATTTTGAACGGTGGATGAAATTATTGTATCTGATCCAAGTTGCTGGCTGTTCAGGCCCCTCAAGCGTCGTGGAATCATGATATGTTCGAGGCAGATCAAGCCGTCGCCTTTGGTCAAGCTGGTGGTCGGGCGTCTTCCATAGAGACTGGGACTAAACTCTACATCTCCAATCTTGATTACGGCGTCTCCAATGAGGATATCAAGGTAGTTTCTCTCTCTGGTAACTGTTACTTCTTTGTTGAGAGAGTTTATGGATGAATATGAAATTTTCTTCTTCTTCTTTGGGTAATGGAATAGAACAAGCTAATTAGTTTAGGATTTTGAAAGTTCATTGTTTTTCTTTTCTTTTGCTTCCCTAGTCTCTTTTGATTACACTGTTAAATATCTCTGGATTTGTTGTCAAAGTTTTGACCTTTAATTAATTATTTGTCCCTGCTAGAATAGTAAGTAAGATGAGAAAAAGGTGGATGAGCATGATATACTAGTTAATCCACTGAGGAGGTAATAAAGATGTAACAAGAAAAAAAAAAGATTTATGTAAGAAACTAATGGAGATGTAGCTAAGAAGGATATAGTTGTTGGTCAAGATTAACCGTATTAAGAAAGACACTGAATCGAAAGCAGACTCACCAGCTCTTCTGCTTATAAGGAAGCTAGTGTCCACAGGAATTTGCAGTATGTACCTGCATTGGTGTATGAAAAAAGATGTACTGTATTTTGTAAGTAGTGTGTGCGATCTCTTTCTGGAGTTTTATTGATTGTTTACCAATATTATGTTTATTCTTGAATTGCAGGAGCTCTTTTCAGAAATTGGTGACCTGAAACGTTATGCTGTTCATTATGATAGGAGCGGGAGATCAAAGGTATTTTGTTGACCTAGACTATGCACTTTAAAGGAAAACAATGTTGTTTGGCTGAAATTAGTGGAACACTGGAACTGCTTCTTCAGGGAACAGCAGAGGTGGTTTTCTCACGTAGACAAGATGCACTAGCTGGTGTTAAAAGGTTCAACAATGTTCAGCTTGATGGGAAGCCAATGAAGATTGAAATTGTTGGAACCAACATTGTCACTCCTACTGCCCCTTTTTCCAATGGAGCTTTTGGTTTTGGAGATACTAATGGAGCTCCTAGAAGGTATGCTCTGTTACTCGCCAAGCTGTTAAATTGGATCAGAATTTTGTTTGAGATTTTTTATTCTGCTATTTGATGACATAAATGAAAATAAGTTTTTTTTATAAGATTGAACATCTAGCTAAGTGCTAATTATTTTTATGTGCTTTATTCTGTAGCCAACCATTTGTAAATTTTTTTTACTGACACACTGGCCTCTTCACCCACTCCTTAGAAAGGTCACGCAAAGAAGAAAAAAATATATTTGATCGTGGAGCTATGTTTCTCTTACTATTCAAAAATATCATCGGGTTTGGGTCGGTTCCTCCAAAAGTAGTTCATTTGTGGGGGATCCAACATAGGCGCGGCAAGATTTTTGGATAGTCCAAGCAACATAGTCATGGAGCAAATTTTTTGTTTGTAGTTTCTGGGTGCTAAGCAAGTTCTAAAGTGGTTTCACAAGACTGGTAACTGTAGTTCCAGTAGTTGTAAGAAATTCATACATATATGTACAAAGTGGAGATATTAGCTAGTTTGGTCCAAGCTCTACAGTCGAACTCTGTCAAAGTGATATAAGTTAATGAAGTAGCCAAAAATGATAAATGTGTGGTTGGTTTTGGAGACTTGTATTGGAGTTAATCGCGTGGATAGATCATACAGAAGTACTATATAAATGAAACAATATTGTGCAAATGTCTCATGGAACGTAAGCTTTGGTTGGATGCAGAAAAGGAGAAAATTGAGTAAAATGTGGAGTTAGTGAGTACACATTTCCTTTGTTTGGACAAGGGCATGGGGAGTATAGTTGTTTTTAGGAGACAATTTATAGTCAAGAAAATATTGTCTCATTTTTGTCTTTCCTCTTCTATGTTGCATACCAAGTCTGCTCTCTTCTTTCCCTTCTCTTAACCAAGGATCAAGGATATATAGAAAATGAATTCAAGAAGATTTGCATATAACCAAATACGTAGTTTGGAGGCATGAAGTAGTTAGTGTTTGTCATCTTCTTTAAACTGAATAAGTGGAGAATCATTTTCATTCTTGTTGAGGTTTCTATCATAAATATCAAGAACTATTAGAAAAAAATTAATACTAAGACTTAATTCTTTTTACTTCATTAACTTCCCTTTATTAGATTTTAACTGTCTTTAGTTTATGGAGGATTGGAAGTGTTCAAGAGGCATTGAATTGGAAGTTTTTTGTTGGTATTAGCACACTAACAATTTATTCCACTGTTTGGCCCCTTGAATGTTGTTGCACTAACAAAGTTATCATGCAAAATGGAAGTTAGTGAAGAATCGAAATTGTACCACTTGTGAAAAGATTTTCCATGAAGTGAGGTACATAACTTCAGTGTTGGGATGCTTACTTTGCTGAGTGGTTAATGTGATGGCTTCAGTTTGAAGTCCTTAAAAGTTCCCTCTCTGGTTTAGCGCCCTTAGTACTTGATTAAATGGATAATATGCTTACAACTTTTAGCACTCACTTGGCTAATTGGATGATCGGTCAACTCATTGCAAGTGATTCAGCGTCAATTGACGTAAAAGATTTCCGCAATAGCTTAATCTCATGTTTTAGTACTTGTTTGATTTAAATCTTCAGTTGAGTTGTTCAGTTGGGTTTGTCCTCTCTTTTGATATTGTTTAACATAGTTATATGATATAACTGGATTATGGATGTGGGATTAGTTTCCATTCAATGTGTTCTAATCATATTTCATTGTGTTAAAACAGTGGTCAAGTAAGAGGTGGTGGTTTTGGGAGGTCACGGGGTGGCAGAGGACGTGATCGTGGATTTCGAGGAGGCAACAGAGGATGGGGAAGAGGAGGTCGTGGAGAAAAGGTATCTGCAGAAGATCTAGATGCTGATTTGATGAAATATCATACAGAAGCAATGCAAACGAACTGATGGGTCTGGTAGTAATGTTTGCCTCTACATCCAGTGCTTAGTGGAGCCACACCACACTACACCACACCACACACAGACTCTCTGTACTTTGGCCTTGTCTTTTCAAGTTGCAAGAAAGAAGTACTTGTTGGAAAATTTCAGCCGTTCCTGTATGGGTATTATGCTTATTTAATTTTTCCCTTGCTTTGGATTTGTGACTTGGATGGAGTGATGAAATCTACTCAACTCTTTAATTTATGTAAGAGATGTATGATTATAGTGGAAATGCTAATCCTTAGCCCCTACCACTAAAAGGCTTTGCCGATGGTGGCAGACACCAGCCGAAGGTCGTGGAGGCAGGTTTTGTCAGTCTATTCTTTGCCCCCTGGTTTCGCAATTGCAGTCTTTGTGCAATCAGCTTTACTCTAAGCTTCTATCTAGTTTTATCCAATGTTTGTAATAAGCTTTAAAAAGTTGACTTAGGAAATAGGTAATGGGATCATTACTGGGTGACTAAGTTGAATATCTGAATGGATTATATCTTGTTTCAAATATATGGGAGGAGTAAGCTGACTGCTGGTATTGCGGGGAACACAGATTCTAACAGAGAAAGAGGCTTTATCTTCATTCTGTGAACATGACGACCTTTGACTGAAGTGACAAAGCTTGTGCCTTGTACCGTAGAATTGCTTGGGTTTGCGTATTGATTGTGTGCTTTTGAGTCTTAAATGCCGCTTCCCAAAGTGGCATATCTTCATATGGCTTTGCATATTAAGCTATTTCAAATTCAAGTTCAGTGATTCAGTCCTAATTCTCTCCAAGGAGAGTTCAAAATTATAAGTATGTATCTCTCCTAATAAAGCCCTTAGGATAGAATGTGATGATTTTAACCTTGTGAAGATTTGGATTAAAATTTTTTTATTGAACTCTCTCATCCCTGAGAAGGTATGTATGTGTCTAGCTAGAGCTTTACTGGTATGGGTTGCGAGTTTTTAAATGGATTCTTTCTATTTCCAGATGGTCTGTAAGTCCCCCCAGTAGGTGACTTTTTAATTTTGCGTCCGTGAAAGTACTATGATCTAATTTTGCAGGACAAATTCACAACTTTTGCTTTCTCTAACGACACTTTTTTAGGAATATGCCTCTATCCACATAACTCAATAGGAACTAAATTTGTGCTTTGCAACTATTTTCTTTTCGATGTCAAAGACTGCAAAAAAGGTAAGATTTAAGGACCTGAGTGATCGAACATAATCAATCTGCTATCAATAAACTCTCACAGAAAAGTTATATAACAAGTATTTAGTATAATAATAGAATAAATAAATATAGAATAGAAAAATAATAAACTAAAACTTCTATAATGATCATAATTTTTTTTAAAATTAAAATTTATTACGTAAAAAAAGGATAGCATAGAACAGCAAATTAAACTCTTAAAAGATTTGATTAACATAATCTTGAAGAAGAGGAAAATATTTTAAAAATAAATAAAAAACAAAATATATTGAACAAGGGGCATTAAAAAAAAATGACAAAGGGACTTAAAATGTCCCATTATTAGCTTGGAAAATAAATTCCTTCCATCCATATAATAAAAAATTACCTCTATTTTTTGTTGTAGAATAATTAAATTTTCGTTGCAGAATAGTAGTGTTTCTTTATAGCACGTTTCAGAAAGATGCTCTTTTTTATTTTAAGGACTCCTCAATTTTAAAAAATTCTAAACCACATAATTTAAAACCGAACATGCGGTAGTTTTTCAGTCTGTCGGAATTACGCATTGGATAGTAAATAAGGGTACGTGGTGATTAATAAAAAGTTCTCTTCAATTGCACCCCCAACCCCCCAAAAAAGTGCGTTCCAAACAATAGCTAAAATCAGAATGAATACTAAAGAGGATCCTGGCATTTTCTTCACCTACAACCTGAACTAAGAAAAGTAAAAGCACACAACTAGTATGCCCGCTACAGTACAAATGACAACAATTCTACATGTATACCGTTCTACACCACCATGCTTCCGAAAACAATAATTCCCAATATCTTAATTACATGCAGGAAAAACCTTTAATACATCAAGGACCAAACTTCTTGACTCAACATACAACATTACTCCGCACAAATCTTAAATGTCGAACACCATTCGGCAACATCATTGCTCCTTTGGTCTACTCCTCACTTTATCCCAACTAGAAAATATTAACCTCAAGAGAGAATAGAACACGGCCAGAATGCATGACTTTATAAAGTTCCAAAATGAAGAAGGCCAATACCAAGGATACAGCAAACGGAAAAAGAGACTTATAATATGCCGAGGGTATCGTCCGACCTGAAGCAAGACATTAAATCACGTTAGAGGAAAAAATGGAACTCTACGACGAAGAGGAAGGCGATAAAACTCCTAACCTTGCGATATTCTCTAATGGCAATCATGAGCTTCCATGTTTAAAAGGAAATATAGAAGCTAACAAAGGATTCCACATTTACCACAAACTGGCAAAGTAACTAAAACAGCTTTTCTAAGAAGTTATCTTTGTATACCACCCACTTACAAAAATATCACCAGTTCCCACCTACAGATTAGGTTTCTTCTAGCCCGGACTTTTCTTATCAACAGTTACACTCGAGATGTTACAAGCTAGTCCAAAAATATATGCAGCTTAATGTTCAAGATGCATTTCTAGCTCTCAAAAGAAAAAACTGATAAAGACCAGAATATTTTTATATAAAGATACCCCAAAGGAATCTGAACTATTGTTTCTGTATTTCTTTATCTACTTCCTAGGTGCGCATTGTGCATCAGGATACTTCGGTACACCATTAAACATCTCATGCATAGATGAAAAGTAAATACATCTTACATAAACCCATAAATTGTCCGGAATACGACGAAGTAATGATATCAAATCATGAGCTTTCTTCAGATAATGGAGAGACAACTCACAGGATATAGCAAATCTAATGCATCCCATGCTGCATGGCGGACAGCTCTTGTTGGGTACATGGGAGCACCTGGTGACGTGAAGCTATACAAGCAAGTTTTCAATCTTGTACTAGTAGCCATTCTCAACTCTAATCCTGCAGAGAGGTCATTGTAAATGTAACTCCATTCTATAAAACCCATATTTATACAAATTAGCAACAAAATTAGCTTTACCTTGAAGAACCTTCAATTGGGAGAGATAATGCAACAACACTGGCTCCACTTTTAGTTTTTGAAGCTGACAACATAATTATAAATGAGAACAAATACAGGAAGAGTAAGGAAATGGCTTGGGATGTTAAAGATACTTCTCTTACCTGATCAGCTAGTTCAGTGACAAATATATCTGCTGCACCACCAATCAAGAAAGCATTCGGGAAATCAGGGAATTGCCTTAAGAAACTTCCTAGTTTGTCACCTGCAAAAAGATTAACATAAGCATGCGTACTCAACCTTCTATGCGAGGTTACTGCTAAGATCAACTTACCTAGGTTATAGAAAAATATGAACCTTGAGAGGAAGAGAAATAGATCTCTTTGGGCCTGACAAGATGAAGACCGCAAATGATGTTAGGATATGCCCACTAAAACTAGACTTGCTTTGGCACACAGGAAAAGCTGAGGGGGCAAACATCAGACCTGCAAAGGGATCTTCTTTAATCGGTCAGGAACAAGGGCAACTTCCTCGAGCAGATACTGTTACACACATCCAAATAACTAATTATCATCATTTGCTAAGATCGAAAAAAACCCACAAAATTGCCAGTTTTACTCCAAATACTTGAAGAAAATAGAAATCAAGTTACAGGTATTTGACCTTAAAAAGACTCTGAAAACGCCTTGTGTTTGTTTGGATGTCAATCCTGCAAAAAGGATATGTCAACCAATCATTTAACACATTTTACCATAACCCCCGTACTCCATCCCCGTACATATTTAGAGAAGTTATTCTGAAGCACGCAATAAGAAAAAAAAAGCACAGACAAAATGTTGAAACCCAGAAGAGCAGGAATATATTTAAATCATAAACCTGTCAGACACTACGGTGCAGTTGGATAGAAATATTACGCAGTCTATTCTATGAGCATCAACCGGGTAAATCTCTGAGTAGCAATATATATTAACGTGGATATGACGAATGCAAGAAGGTGAAGAGCTTTGCTAATACTGATTTGTAGGCTAGTAATTGATCCAACGTGATGATAAGTTTCGTTCATGCAAGAGAAAATGAAAGCAAGAGCAACAACCAATGTTCCAGTATCAGCAAGAAAACTTAGGAAGGTTGCATAAAGGGAAACAAGCGCTGAGGAGTGTATAAAGCAACAAGCCATCCAGATTGTTGCCTAAAGGATAGACCCTATGCAGTGAACTCTCATCACATTCGAACCTTGATATATCTAAATCATAAAGATTTGTGCCGTTGAACTATTAGCAAGTTCAGCAATAGAATAGAAAACTCACATACTGGTAGCTTTACATACTTCAGACTCCATAGAAGCCGCGAATGAAAGTGACATTAGCAATCAATAAGATCTTAAAATAAGAGTGGAACTCATACCAGAATACATTTGTCGCTCCTTGAACAAGAGCTGATGAGTATCGGAGGAGGACTTCAGAATTCTCAAGTTGAACCTCAAACAACTGCAAAGTAGAAGAGATTTTTTTTTGGAATAGTAATTTCAGTATCGTCGCGTGAACAAAACACACAAACACAAAAACACACACACACACCTCTCCTCCTACCCCCTTCCCACTTTTTCTTACTTGTGAGGTCCTTTTCCTTCATCTCTTTCTTTTCAGAGTTGGGAGTGGGAAGGAAGAGGCGACTTTGTACGAACATCTTTATAATATTTACATATCACACCGTGAGAATACGATATTCACTCTTGGATATGCCTAAACACTTGGAGCTGTAAGAGTTTCTAAGAGACACATAAATATACCCCTCCAAGTCTTTAAGCAAAATGAGTAAAATCATTCGGAATGTCATTCCGGAGAGTAAAACCACTTTTGGCCCATTTGCTCACAGCATATACAAATATAATGACCAAATTCAAGCATAGCCCACAATATTGTGAGAAACACATGATGCTAGGCCAAGAAAGAAAGATAAAAAGGCTCCTCATAAGTTGGTAAAAGAAAAAAGAAGAAAAACATGTATGGTGAAGTCAATTAAAAAAGTTCGTTATCAAAAAATAAAATAAAATGAAGTCAATTGAAAAAGTTCAAGAAAATATCAACACCAGAGCTATAATATCATCATTAACTTGTGGATCTGAAAACCATCTCACTACATACAGAGTACAAAACTTAAAAGGGAAAGTAAGATCATTGAAGGATGTAAAAACTCTACTAACCCACTTATGGAAAAGGAGTGAAAAAATATTTGCAGCAAAAGATTGGCTCCACAGTTGGACTATTAAATCAAGGATCGGTTTTCCATTCTGAGGTACATGGACAAAATGATCAGCAAGCACATAGTAGTAGCATGTCGGTCCTTCAGCCCGTTCCTCTGCAACAATAATAGCATCCTTGGTGCCGAGTATTATCTCTGTTAAGATGTTAAAT